CATACGTAGAATATTGTTTCTTCTACAAGTCCTTTAAATTTTCAGGTTGTAGTATAAATCAATGGTTGGATTTTTACATTGCATAAACATAATCAAGCTAGAGGAAGAACAAGTGAGATATAATAAACTTAAAATAAAATTAATTGAATAAATAAAATTGACAATCTAAAATAGAAATTAAAAAAACTAATCTTGCACTGTATTATAATTAAACAATTATAGGATGCAAGTCCTTGACAATGATGTTGGCCATTTACTTGATATGCATTTGATAAGTATATCAATTATCGTAGGTAGTAAAGAGAACAGAAATCCAAGTATCAAATCCATAGGGACTTGAGTTTATAATTATTTAATATAATTGTAATACTAAATAGATGAATAAGAAATTTGAAATTTGTTCAACAAGAAATATTTAAATTTGATAAGAAGAAAGTAAGCAGTAAATAGTGAATAATTTGAATTTATAGGAAGAACAGTCAGAGATTGATTTACTAATTATCTTTATATAAAATCTCTTAATTTTCCATTCAACATTGTAATTATACAGATAATTGAAAGTATACATTTATATTTAAACCTTAATTTCTTAGGCGAGAAAGTCTAAGTTGTTTAAGGAAAATCCCAATGCCTTGGTGATTTTTGTTAAAAATAATACATTAAGGTCAAGGACCAAAATTTGACTGATAAAGTTTATCCCAATTCCTTGGTAATAACTGTTATCAATGTTTTATCTAGGTTGTAATTTAAAAAGGGTTTTCCCAACCTCAATTAAAAATTATGAAATCATGGAAAGGTTAATCAAGTCACAACAAGCATTAAGTACAAGACTTAAATGATTAATTGAATAAATACTTTATTGAAGGAAAAATAGGGTGAAATTTATATAGTTCCAGTAGCTACCTCAATCTCCAACAATAAAGACTTGGCCACTCATGATTAAAGATTACACAACAATAGAATGACCTTTGAGTGATTTGTGATTACAATGATGATATCATAGAAACTCTCTCTAATCTCTTTAGAATTATGCTAAGACAAAAAATGATGATTAGAAATTGGATAAAGAGACCTTCCAGAGACCCTAATTTCATAATAATTCTTATAGACTTTTAGGTTTGAACTGCTCGCTCAAAGAACCTATGTAGGTCCCTTTGAGTGACCATATACGTGCTTCCAAGGGTGCTCTCTGACTTCACTCGCTTAGAATGACCATGTGTATGCTTCCATGGTTACTCTTTGACTTGGCTCGCTAATAGCAAGTTGTTAGTCACTCTAAGAAAATTTCCTTATCTTGGAACAAGTCTTTGGTGTAGCTTGGAGCAATGGTTCCCCTTTTAGACTTGTGGCTTCCAAATTATTTTCTCCTTGTGTCATATTTCAATAACAAAGAAATAAAAAATACCTAATATTTAAACAGTTAAATCCTAAAATGAAATTAACTCTTGATGATGGCAAAACTAGGTGAAGTGAATGATGAACTCCCCTTGGCTTTGCTCCAACGTCTTGATCTTCTCCTTGAGGTGATTCTGGAATTTTGAATCCAAAAATGGATGAGGACACATGAAAGAGAATAGAAGGAAGAACCTAAGCCTAAAGGAGCAAAGGATTGCTCACAAGGTTTAGCCTAGAAGCTTTCTAGGTTCTCCTAATTTTGAGCGTGACTTTGGGACCCTTGAGAGAGATTTTGGCTGAGCAAATGTGCTGAAAATCTCATATATTCAAAAGTGAATCCAATGTGTGAAGGTGAGTCTAATTTATAGGCTAGATGGCTTGATTTTTGGCACCACACTTCAAAGGCTAACATTGGTGCCAAAAATTTTGAATTTCAAATGGAATTTGAATTTCAAAATTTTGGCAGCCACATGCAATCCTCCATGTGCAGTACAAACCTCATTTGAATGTCATTTAAGTCTAATTTGAGTTTATGTGGTTCTATTCATGTGTAGCCAACCTTAGGCTAGCACATGTACTCCAAATACAACTCAAATGACACTTAAATGAAATCCAACGTAGCTAATCTTTGCCTAATTAAACTCTCCCTCATTAACCTATACTAATTGCCTAAATACAATGGCCCACCTATCACAAATACTAAGAAATAATAAAAGAAGCAAAATGAGTCCAATATTGGATAGCAAAATATCCAAGACCCACTAAACCCAAAAACAGACCCACTAAGCACATGGCCTAAAAACCCTAATCTAGGTGGTCCAAAATATGTATGATTCCTATACTAATATAATATGTACAAATAAGGTGTATCAATGTGTGGCCCAGGTGAAGAGTACCATAGGCCTACGAAGCCCATTAGGCCCACCAAACTCTGAAGTAGTACAATCATCAAGAAGTCTCGCTCTTGGCCATAGATCTAGTTGTTGGACCCTTGGTCCATGCTCTTCCATCGCTTGACTATGTGTTTTGTGGTAAAAAACAAGAATTAGAAGCACAATATATATTAATAATTGTCTAAATTGAATAAAATATGTATGCAAATTTGACAATTATCACCTAATCTAGGTAAGCGTCCACGTCATCTTTGCCATGAAAGTAAGGGATATCCACCTTGAATTCCCTTACTCTAGTCTCTCTCTCCCTCTCTCTCTTAACCTTAGGCTTTCTTGGTTCACTTTGGTAGTAGTTAGTCACTCATGTTAAGACTATCTCTTTGTTTGCTTTTGTTCTTAGAAGAAACTTCTCTTTTAAGAGTTTTTCTTTTTCTTTTAGATTCTTAATCTTTACCTCTAAGTGTGCTTCCATTTTTTCCTTCTCTCTTTCTCTTTTGTTTTTTTTTTTCTAACCTCTTCTCCCCTTTCATAGTTTTAGTTCTTTTTGTTCAACCATTAGTTAAAGGTTTGGTGGTAAACTAGAATCACTACTACCATGAGACTTGTGATGTGTTCTTATTCATGATGCAAGTTTGGAGAAAAATGTTTTTCTTAAGCTAAACACAAATGCAACTGAATGTATTTGAAGAAGTCTTTGGAATCTCTTAAACACTCTAACATTTACAAGACTTAAAAGAAACAACAAATGTCGAGGACTTGCATCTTATAATTGTTCAATTATAATATGGTGCTAGATTAAGTTTTTAATTTTCTACTTTTTTAGTTTCATTAATTTTTAAATTTAATCAACTTTATTTTAATTTTATTAGATCTCACTTGTTCTTTTTCTAGCCCAAGTTTTGTTTAGGCGAGGTAAAACTCTGATCGTAGAGTTGTACTATGATTCAAAAGTTAAAAGGACTTGTAAAAGAAACATTAATGCTATGCAAAGGGGACAAATATAAGCAAACAAAGACACTTTAGCATCCGAACTAATGGTAGAAAAAGGAGCAAATTGTTCTTTTCCTCCTCCTACATAATTAGAGAGCATAGTAAATAAAAGTTAAACTCAATAATAATTTAATATGACAAAACTCAAAAAATGTCAATAAAATAGACAAATTAAAATTAAGGCAAGATTTGGGAGTTAGAACTCAAAGGAGTCTTAGATAGGTTATAGAGTTGGACCATAAAAGCAATAAAAACTCAAGTTCTCTTCCAAATTAGTCACATAAGAGTAATATGTTCATAATTAAACACAAGAAGTATGCAACATCATCCAATAACATCTCAAATAAAGTCATTATAAAATCATCTCGTCACATGTTAATAATTCAATCGTAGCTACTAGATTAACAAAAAACTAAGTATTTAAATTAATAACTTATATTAGTCTTATAATATTATTAATATCACACATTAATTTCTTAGTCATCAGTATCACTAAAATACCTCAAATCGTAACATTCATAATTATTGTAGTTATAACTTGATAGGTTACTGCTCTTAAAAGAATGAGTGAGTGTAAGTTAATAAATTATATATATATATACATATATATATATAACTGGGAAGCATACGTGTCTCCGCTTGTACCATAATAACTTTTGACATAAGTTTAGATCATAACTTTTCTTTTTCAACCCAATTATTGGTGTAGAGGTCGAAATTTGAATAATTTACGTAAAGTTCTAAATTCAAATAATTTGCTACAAATGGATAGAAAGGTCATGTCATTCTTTACATATTCGGAGAGATGAAAAATATATCTTGTCAAGCACCTTTCCTTGATTTTTAATTATGGAATTTTAAGAAGATTTTTTTATTTACTTATCATTTTTTAAGTTTAAAACAATATTAATTACTTTTTTTTAAATTATACTCCTATATTGCACTTATCTTTTAAATAATTTATATATATTGATAATATATATTTATTTTCTTTAAAAAAAAGAGTATAGTAGCAAAGATCAAAATCATTTTAAGAAAAAATAGAAAATTTATTATATTCCTTAATTTGTATATAATAATCTTAAACCACTGTTAAAAAAAGAAGGTAGTATTATATAAATAATTTTTTTTGAAAGATACATATAAAATGATTTTATGATTATCTGTCAATTTAAATTAATAAAATGAGATATCAAATAGTTTTTAATTTTTTTAAAAATTTACAAATTTAATATATTCATTAAGAATTTTAAATTCAATAGTTAGATTCTTAAAATTTGATATATAACATAAATTATTAGATGAAATAAGTAAATTTACTCTTAAAATAAACGGATTCTTAAATATCTCTATATATAAGAGTGATCAACTTACTCAAAAAATAAGTTTACTTATGCTTACTTCACTCAATAAGATATATATTATATTAAATTTCAACAATTTAACCGTTAACTTATAAGTTCTTAATATATAAATCTTTTACATATTTTAAAAAATTAAAAATTATTTAATATATTTTATTTTATTAATTTAAATAGATAAATAATTATAAAAATATTTATACGTTGATTTAAATTATTGAAAATTGTTCCGACCCTGAGCTCTTAACCCACAAATTATATAGAAAAATTAGGAAAATTATGTGTCGGACTCATTTGCATGTGATGAAACAATAATTTAGTTTGTCGTATGCATACGCTGATGTCTATTTAAAGGATCCATCATGAATAAGGATGTAATTGAATAACCACACATCTACATTTTCTTTGTATAGTTATTAACTACGAGATGGTTCTAAAGGGTAAAGTGGTTACAGAACTTGAGATCCGATCACCTGCTGTCAAGTTCTTCAATGGTTATGCAAAGCAACTTCACAATTTATCAAACATCGTTGACAATATTCATGATGGCCAGTTGCATGAAGGTGATTGGCATGACATTGGTGCTGTTAAGAGCTGGACTTTTACCACAGGTAATTACACTTTTCTATATATGCTAATCAAAACGTTTGGGACCCACGCTTTCCTTATAATTAATTAATCCTCAAATACAGATTCTGATGATATACAGTTATGCAAAACTGATGTGTTTTGAGTCCTTGTATTTTGTCCATCACCCTACTCCTAAGTTCCGCAAAGAGATACAAAATTCACCAATTTAAAAAATAAAAAAAAAAGATAAAAATTATTACTTTTAAAAAATATATGACTTGCTTATCCCATATCAATTAGTGGTGTGATCAAATTAGAGTATGTAAATGAAGAGAAATCTTCATTTTACAAGTTAATTTTGTAAGTTTTTATTTTCTATCTTAAGATAGTATCAAAATATATCTTAGTTAATGTTATTTATTTTATCAAATCACTCACTATTGGATCATTATCGGACCATCACATATGTTTAATTCACCAAACTTCATGTTTGAATTATCCAATTCTCCATATTATATGAGTATTAGAAATCTTACATTGATTAGATGAAAGACAAAATTATAATATATAAGTTAAGAACAATAATTACTTTACAAGTTAATTTTATAAAATTGAGCTAATTTTTATTACACTTTCTTAAGAAGGCAAAAGCTAATTTTCATAAAGTAATTTTTATAAAAAAAAAATATGAAAGTGTTAGAAATCTTAAATTAACCGGTGAAATGACAAAATTATAATACATAAGTTAGGAACAATTATTATTTTACAAGTGAATTTTATAATATTGAATTAATTTTGATTACACTTTCTTAAGAAGAAGGCTAAAGCTAATTTTGATTTTAAAAAAAATTGTGCAAGTGGAAGTGGGTCTATTACTATTCTCACTTTTTAATTCTTGTGAACTACTACAGAAGGGAAAGTGGTAACATTTAAGGAGAGCATTGAAGCTATTGATGATGAGAAGAAGACAATATCATTCAGTATCTCCGGTGAAGAAATTACTAAGGATTACAAGATGTTTAAGCTCCACTTGCAAGTGATTGATAAGGAGGAAGGTGGTGCTGTTACTGTATGGACTATTGAATATGAAAAGCTGCATGAAGATATTACACCTCCATATCGCTTCTTGGACATCATAACTGTTACTACTAAAGATATCGATGCTCATGTTCTGAAGGAGTAACAATAATAATGCAATATGTAGAGAGAATAAGCTAAACAACGAAAAAGAATGAGTTTAGCATGAGAATATAAATGCTTAGTTATTAAAGTGTCAGTGTTAAATATAATTTCTAAAGAATAAGGAGGTGATGGCTCCCAAGTATGGTGTGAACAAGGACAAGCCAATTTTATTTTACTTTATATATATATATATATATATATATATATATAAGAAAATATTACTCCTTTCAATATTATTGGTGTTAAATTGAGTGAAATAAATATAATTATATTTTTGCTTCTTTTGCTTATATATCGATCTCATGTACCTAGTAGAGTAGCCAGTTAAAATCTTTTCATGTCTTTTTCTTCTTCTAATTTTAAGTGACCATCTAAGAATCAAAGCAACAAAAAAAAAAATGTTAATGATCGTAACTTTTAACAGAAAATAATAATTAATCGATTATTTATTATCTACTGTATGCGTAAGGAGTTGGGACTTATATCCTTAATCTTAATACTGCAATCAATTCGTCCAAAACTTCAGTTTATTTAACTTTTTTTATCCTTTTTTTTTATCGATAGTTTATTTTACTTAAAATATGTTACAAGTAAATAAACGTGCTTTGTCATGTCAGCTTTAAGGCTAACCTTACATGATTTTGGAATCCCCAAATTTGTTTGCAATCTTCAATAAACGTAGTAGGTGTTTAAAGAAAGTGACGGAAATAATTTAAAAAATAGCAATAACTATCAATTAAAATAAAAAATTGAAAATAGTTAATACATAGTCAACCAATTTAAGTAAGTCATCCTATCAAAACACAGTTTATCAAGCATGCTATATATTCGCAAATAATCATTTAATAAAGAATTGATTATTATATTTTTAAATATTTAAAATAATAATTGGTGTGTGAGGCTAACCTTCCATGATTTTGGAATCCCCAAATTTGTTTGCAATCTTCAATAAACGTTCTACACTATTTTCAAATAATTCAAAGTAGTTGTTTAAAGAAAGTGACGGAAATGATTTAAAAAATAGCAATGATTATCAATTAAAATAAAATAAAAAATTGAAAATAGTTAATACTTAGTCGACCAATTTAACTAAGTCATCCAATCAAAACACATTTAATCAAGTCATGCTATATATTCGCAACTAATCATTTAATAAAAAATTGATTGTTATATTAAATTGATTATTATATTTTTGATTGGGGTATTTAAAATAATATTTGGTGTGTGTGGATTCCACTTTTGGAATTGATGTATGTGTCTGTGCGTGTGGATATTACTCCTTTCAATATTATTGGTGTTAAATTGAGTGAAATAAATATAATTATATTTTTGCTTCTTTTGCTTATATATCGATCTCATGTACCTAGTAGAGTAGCCAGTTAAAATCTTTTCATGTCTTTTTCTTCTTCTAATTTTAAGTGACCATCTAAGAATCAAAGCAACAAAAAAAAAAATGTTAATGATCGTAACTTTTAACAGAAAATAATAATTAATCGATTATTTATTATCTACTGTATGCGTAAGGAGTTGGGACTTATATCCTTAATCTTAATACTGCAATCAATTCGTCCAAAACTTCAGTTTATTTAACTTTTTTTATCCTTTTTTTTTATCGATAGTTTATTTTACTTAAAATATGTTACAAGTAAATAAACGTGCTTTGTCATGTCAGCTTTAAGGCTAACCTTACATGATTTTGGAATCCCCAAATTTGTTTGCAATCTTCAATAAACGTAGTAGGTGTTTAAAGAAAGTGACGGAAATAATTTAAAAAATAGCAATAACTATCAATTAAAATAAAAAATTGAAAATAGTTAATACATAGTCAACCAATTTAAGTAAGTCATCCTATCAAAACACAGTTTATCAAGCATGCTATATATTCGCAAATAATCATTTAATAAAGAATTGATTATTATATTTTTAAATATTTAAAATAATAATTGGTGTGTGAGGCTAACCTTCCATGATTTTGGAATCCCCAAATTTGTTTGCAATCTTCAATAAACGTTCTACACTATTTTCAAATAATTCAAAGTAGTTGTTTAAAGAAAGTGACGGAAATGATTTAAAAAATAGCAATGATTATCAATTAAAATAAAATAAAAAATTGAAAATAGTTAATACTTAGTCGACCAATTTAACTAAGTCATCCAATCAAAACACATTTAATCAAGTCATGCTATATATTCGCAACTAATCATTTAATAAAAAATTGATTGTTATATTAAATTGATTATTATATTTTTGATTGGGGTATTTAAAATAATATTTGGTGTGTGTGGATTCCACTTTTGGAATTGATGTATGTGTCTGTGCGTGTGGATTCCACTTTCGAATTTGCAAAGGAGAATATTTAAAATATATACAAATTATATATATATATATATATATATATATATATATGTTCCGTAAGAAAGGAAGACAATTTTAGATAATATGTGACTTGATCTCACATATAATATATACGTGTGTGTGTGAATTCCACTTTCAGATTTGCAAAGGAGATTTGTCTATATGGATAAATGGCTTGATGATGAATTTTTATGCCATTTAGTCCCATATGTCAAATTATATAAATAAAAAACTAATCAACTCATACATGTATATATGTGTGTATGTGTGGATTCCACTTTCAAATTTGCAAAGCAGATCTGTCTATATGGATAAATGGCTTGATGATGACTTTTTATGCCATTTAGTCCCATATGTCAATATCCAAGTCAGGGATTTGCGAATAAAGGATATTTATCGTGATTCCTAGCATTTCGAAATGCATGCTACTGTCATTTCTTTGGAGATAAAAAATCACCTTCAAAGTGTTATTATCCATGAACATAATGATGATCTTATCATATGAACAAAGTCTCCTAATGGGGTTTATTCTTCCAATTCAGCTTTGAAATGGCTCATTGTCGAGAAATTATTGTCTATTATCTCAATTCAACAAATGGTCCTCAGTATCTAGAAATTAAAATTACTTGAGAATATTAAACACTTATCATGATCACTTACCTTCCATGTAGCCAGCCAACTAATAATTTTCGTGTCTATAGGCACCTTTCTTTGGATTCTTCTTGTCATAGGTGTGGCTATGGAAATAAAGATATGCTACACTTGTTTTGTGACTACCCCCTATCTAGACAAGTATGTGAGCAACTGAAGATGAATTGGGTGCAACAATTTTAAGGTGTTGATCAAATGGATTGGTTGGTGACCAACGACGAAAACTCAAAGGACAATTTATTTGTAATAGCTTGTTATTGGTTTCTATGGAAAGCAAAGAATGATGCAACTTTCAATGAGAGAGCTTGGGACTCATGGAATGTTGTTAACCAAATCCATACCCTTCACTCAAACATTCAGGTGGCTCTCTAATATACATCTCAACAAAAAGCTAACAAGCACATTGGTTAGGATTCTTCATATGAACATTTTATCAAGATTAATACCGATGGAAGCTCTCTTGGAAATCCTGGAGTAGCGAGCTTTGGAGGTATTTATAGAGATCATTTTGGTAATTGGTTATTGGAGTTTGCTGGTATATGTCATTTTGCTACAAGTCTTAAAATGGAGCTACTAGTCATTTAGCATGGTTTATCAAAGGTTTGGCAAGAAGGTTTCATATTTGTCATTTTTGAATTTGACTCACAATGTGCCTTAGATTTGATTCAAAAAGATTGTAGTTCTTTTCACCCATATTATTCACTAATTGCTCAGGTAAGAGGTGTCAACTTTAGAGATTGGTCTCTTACTTTACACTATACCTTGCGGGAAGCAAATGTGTGTGTTGTTTCATTTTCTAAAGGAGCCTCATATGATGACCCTTCACAAAATGCAATGAGTATCCTTTTTAGTTAGATATATTTATTTTTTTACCAGATAGAATATATGTCCATATTAAATTTTAATTTGGTTATTTAATCTTTTCGATGTAAAAAAAATGTATTTATTTATGTGCATAATTTACTTTAAATTTTAATAATATATAATGAATATTTAACGTGCATTACACAAGTTAAAACACTAGTTTATTTAATAAAATTAAATAATTTAATATTAAAACTTTATAGGTCTATTTGGTGGTCAAAATATGATATATTAAATATGATATGATATGATAATTTTCTTATCCTTCTATAATTCATTGTTTGTTAATTGTGCTAATATGATATAACGATTTTATCCTATCTTGTTGGTATAGTCTACTTTCTATCCTAAGAAGGATGCTAGGTTAACAAGTAAGATAGGATAAAGTCCACTTTCTTCTCTTTATATACACTAAGGAAAAAAAAGGCACTTTGTGCCTCCTTATTTTTTTAGATAAATTCAAATAAATAAATAAACAAATCATGTAGTGGATAATTGTATGAACAATTATTTAAAGATGCTAAAAAATTGAGAAAAAGACATTGAAAGATAAAAAGTGATTTAAATTTATGAGTAAAACAAAAAAGGTTAAAATGGTTCATAATAAAATTGAGACCAAAATAGTTATTGAAAGAAGTATCCCTTTTATATAATAATATAAATTATGTCATATTAGGGGGAAAGATCTTGTAAATATTTAAAAAAAAAAATCATGAATTAGGTGGTTATTTAAATGTTGATCTATGGTGGTTACTAAAGAACTTATTTCTTTTTTTTATTTATACCTATATATAAAAAAGTGATTTTCTATTTTCGTGTACAAGTTTTGGACTATTTTATGTTGGTATAAAGTTTTTAAGCCAAATAGAAATTTTCCATTAATAAATATTAAGAAACGTTGTCTCAGATTACAGAGTTAAGGTTAGTAACACATACATGTAGCCATTGACATTGACCAAAAGGTTGCAGCGGAATAGTCTTTTGGTGCAATGATCTTCCTCAGCCAAATCACTAGATTCCAACGAGACTTGATGTTTCTCTTATGATGGGGAGACAGAGAGACGTGTATTTATGATTTGGAATATTGGAGACCATGAACTTCTTTACGATTTTAAACCTATTAGGGTTCCCATTAACCCCTAACGGGCCAAATCTGGTTTCCACTTATTTGGACCCATATCAGTTTTTCCTATTGGTAATCTAAAGGCTCACTAAAATTAGATCACTTTTATTGAGTCCAACTAAATGTAAATAGCTAATATAACTGCTACAAACAATATATGCAGCCCACATTAATTATTAGAAATAAAATTTCTAACAATCTCCCACTTGGGTTTCATATTCATTTA